TGATTGGAAGTCTTTTAAATGGATGTTATATTGTAATCACGTAATAAAAAAAGTTTACTATAATCTTGTAAATTCTTCTTGCAATTTTATTATATTATATTTTATTAAATAAAACTAACTGCTATTATAATCTTGTTGTGGGATGATTTTTATTAGTTCAAGAATGTTATATAGATTAAAATTATAATTTGATAAAAAAATCGAAGTACTATCTCAGTTGAGTTGTAGATGAAATGATAAATATTTTTATTTAAATCTTTGATTAATATTAAGGTCTAATATAAAAATCCTCAAATTATATATATATATATATATATATATATATATATATATATATATATATATATATATTAATTAAGTAACAACTTTTTCTTCCGATCAATGTAAATGTCTAATGTTACAAACATCATCATTTTAAGTATTTATGTTATTGTTAAAAAAACATAATCTAACACGTGTCTCAAATTTAGTCCTTAAACAATTCTGACCCCCTTTCTCTAAAAAAAGTCCCTTTTCACTTAAAAAGGGGGAATTTGAATTAGATCGAAAACTTTGGTTCATTCTCGTTATTTGAGAAAGATTCTGTTACTGATAATTTATATAATACAAAACGCATAAAATAAAGCCCTAAAAAGTCACGCGTGCTGCCTGGCCTGGCCACTCACCCTGCGCCTACGTTTCGTCCACAGCTGTCGGTTGAGTCGTCGCTCCGAGTTTATAGATTTTGTGGTCTAATTCTACCTATAGTCCTTTTATTATAGTGAAATTATAGATCCAATATTTTATTTTTTTTTATAATTACCTGTTATCTAATCTATTGGCGGACTAATTCAAATTTGAATACCGTAGAGGTATATCATGGAGACAACTATCTTAACCTAGCTTTTTGAGGGGCTCGTCCAGCTAGATCAATTGGTAATTGGTAGAATTAATCTTCTGTTTTAATTTAACCTAAATTAGTATCTTCATTTTTATAATATTATTAGTAAATCTAAATTAATAACACTGTTAAATGTTCTCAACCGAGGGATAAAGAAGACTTCATGAATTTAATTTAAGGTTTAATAGAAAAATAAATGTCTAAATTATATCTTTTTTCTCAGTTATGTGTTTGAAATATTTTTTTGCCAGAGTAGGTGTCTAAAGATTCGTTTCGTTCCCATTTTTCAGTTTCTTCTATTATGTCCCTTAAAAAATAGCCGGTAAAAGTTTGATAAAAAAAATTTAAACACCTAAAACAAAAAAGATACGTAATTTATATACTTATTTTAATAGAAATTTTTTGAACTTTGAATAGAATGAAACATTAAACTTTTATCTTAACAAAAAAAATTAAGCACATAGATTAAAAAGAAATATTATTTTGAACATTACTTTTTAAAATAAGTCTTAATTTATTGATAACAATTAATAAAGTTATCAATTTAGACAAACAAATAACACTATAAAACCAAAAATATAAGCTATATAAAATAAAAATAAAGATATCAAATAATAATCTTTTGAAAAGATCAAACATCAAATTTTGATATAGTAGAGTGACTAAAATTTTAATTAGACTTAGTTTTAATATTAAGGAGAATTTGGATTCGGTCGAATATCTTAATTCATATATTTTTTGTCTAAACTTAGGTCAATATAGATATAAATATTAGTAAATGGTGATGCCAGTTGGAAGAGATAATGGATGGGAAAATTAATTTATTAAATGTATTCTTTGTAAGAAAACGATAATTAATTATTTTTCATAAATATAGTTAAATGAAATTTCTTTTATGCAATTTTTAATAATTTGTGGTAATTATAAGATATATATATTTATAATTTTTCATAAATATAGTTAAATGAAATTACAACATAATACCTCAAAATGTGGGGAAAATATATATTTAATTCCTATTCCAAGTGTTTCACAAGACTAAAATTCCTCGAAATAAATATCTGATATCACAAATAGACATGTAGAAAGTAGAATTTATTTAATATAATGTTTATATTATCTAATTTTTTTCAATTGCCAATCGAATGATACTGAATATTTATAATTACAACATCGCTTATTTAACTGAAAGCTCGAAGTAATTAATTATCGATATTCAGTCATACATTATAACAATAATTTAGCTTCGATATTTTCCAATATCGATACTAGAATCGGGAGAGACACACTCTTTGGTTACCCATTTTAGTTTGGTATATTATTTTAAGGCAATCATACCTACAATACAAAACTGGGGTTAACGATTTCAAATTAGATATGCATACTTGTAGAATAATAACGGAGATTGAACCATTAATTTGAATTTCGTAGAATAATATAGTTAAGAATGGGTGAATTAACGATAAAAAAGTCAGTAGAAGCTTTACAAAAACTAAAATACTTGACGCAAACAATTTATAGTGGCTCAACTTCCTCAATAAAATTTATGTCCACGACTTTAACTATCCACGTTAAAGATTTATGTCATATTAACATTTCTTATGAGAGATATTTATGTATCACCAACATTTTTACATGATAGGGAAGAAGAGCAATTCTTTGAAGGCTAGAATGGGATTCTTTTCTTGCAGCCTAAGGCACCCGCAAAACGAGTGAGTCTTGTAACATAAGTTGCAGGCTTGAATTTGATCATATCCTTATTGTTGAAATTCAAATGAGGTGAAGGTGGGCCAGAAGTTCTAAAGAAGGCTCCGTTCATGAATAAGTCTCCTTCTGATCTTCATATCCAATTCTTCCATTCTGATTCCGAAGCATAGATTCTCTTCGTTATCTGCAAAATTAGATTTATGATCTTGGTCACTTTGTTTTTAGGGTAAACATTTTAGTACCATAATTATCACTTTTGTTATGTTTTGGTCACTCAATTATTATTTTCTTTCAAAAGCATAATGTTAAAAAAGGCTTCTAACGTTTGATTAAATGTTCAATTTGGCATCTATTCTTTTTTTTTTGAAACATCTTGGCCCCCAACGTTTTATTTTGGGGGAAAATGGTCCTTCTGTGAATGGAAATCATTAGTTATCAAACGATTAACGTTCTAAAATAGAGTTTTTAACCCTAAAATAAAATGTTGAGGGCCAGAATGCTCCAGAAAGAAAAAAGAAGGGTTAAAGTAACTATTCAGTCAAACGTTAGAAGCTTTTTTCCCTAAAATAAAATTTTAATGATCATTTTGATAAACATTGAGAGTTAATTTTAACATTATGTCTTTTTCAAAATCACACCAAACGTAAACCCTCCCTGTTGTCCACCACGAGTTTTGTGGCCAAAACCAAGCACACAATTCGCTAAGTTTTACGAACCCTAACCCAATTCTTCCTGCATCGCCAACACTTGTCGATTGGATTGGTTGCCATGCCTGAACCATTGTGTTTACCCCTCAAGTATCTTCTTGTGTTATTTTCAATAACCTTCTCGAAATTTATGATTCGATTGTCAATACTTTTATCTAGAATCTTGCAATAAATTGTCCAAGATAAATATATAATATCTCTATTTAACATAAAGTTCAGTAAATATAAGATCCAAATTTTTTTTGAAGGTGTACATATATATATATATTAATAACATAATTTTTTCATGCATGACAGACACAAATAAAATTTCACGATAAACATTATCAATAAAATAGATAATTAATATAAAAATTTCGAATTAAAAAAAAACATATACCAATCCTAGACAATACTTGCCTCTGCCATTACCTCTAAGCGGTTAAGTGAATTGAATTTGCACATTTGACTTTGTTAGTTTATATAGATAATCTTAATGAACCATATTCCATAATTTGATTTTAATATCTATAACTTTTTATACTTAAACTATTATATTTTTTCATAAAACAAAAGAAAAAGAAAAAATAATAATAAAATTTACTCGTTAACTTTATAGTTGAGGTGATTAGTGATATTTTCTGGACTCGATTCATACGCTATCATTTTCATAAATGAACATTTTGTTATTGATTATGCCTAAAACTTAGTATGCATCGTTATAAAAATACACTCCAAACATTTTCATAAATGATTATTTTTATTCTTGATTTTTTGGGATCGTTTTACTAATTTTAATGTTTTATTTTTTTTTATTAAAATATATCATGTTGGACGAAGATAGTTAATTGATTAGTGGTTAATCTATATTATTGACGTGATATTTTCGTGTATTTAATTACTGACGTGATATGTGATACGACACTTAAAGTAATGATGTGACACGTATTATGCCATAAGAAATAGTAACATGTTACGTCACTAAAATTGATGACATAATATGTATCATATCATCAAAAGTGATGACCTGATATGTATCGTGTCACTAAAAGTGATGACACGATATTTTTAACTCGATTATGACTTATTGGGCATGCATCTATTACGCATATGTTCTATTTTTAACTAATGTTTTATATATTTTCTAACCTCTCTTATATTCATCAAATTAAACCAAAATGAAAATATTATATATATATATATAATTGTAATACCCTAATTTTGTCCGGGTAATTTTTTAAATTCACTTGAAGATGATCGAGAATTTATTTGAAGATTTTGTGTTCGATGACGAACTAATTCAAGTGATAAATCGTGGAAGCTTGCATTTGGGTTAATATGAAGTCGAGAAGTTTTAGTGCTGAATTGGATTGTAATCATATTTATTTCAGTTTGGAATTCAAGAGATAAATTGGAATAAAAGCAATTGATAAAGCAAAGCGATATAAATACGAAGACTCTTGAGGTACATTCAAAGCAGTCCAGTTGACAGTGTGCGTCATCCATATTGATCGCCAATTTTGAACATGTTACAAGCATATTTGGATGATGAAATCTTCTTAACATTTAATCCTCTATCTCTTAACTTTCCAACGCACTTTAAATCGCATCAATCCGATATCGGTAGCTCAAGATATGATCAGATAACTGAAAACTGTGCAAGCTGAAAAATCAATACGGGAGTTATGAATTCATTTCGATAAATCAATACGGGAGTTATGAATTCATTTCGATAAAACATTTGTTGTTCTTTGCACATGCACATTGAAAACGTGGGAACAACACATATAGGAGCACTAAGGAGTGTCTAAACAGGCTGAAATTGGACATTAACAGCTTACAAGGATAATGCAACACGTGGGAGCACATTTGAGACATTTCCAGCTCATACACGGCAACAAGCACATGTGGAGGAAAGTTTATGTTGGGGCACACTCACAAAGCATAAACAGCACATTAAAATTATTAGAGAGAAAGGCAGCACGTGGGATACAAAACTAGTTGAATAAAATCAGTCCCGATGACTCATCTATCCACCCATGCTGTCCATGCCCCTCGTGAAGACCCCATGTTCCTGCAAAATACATTAGTATATTCAACACATGAAGTGGGAGCAGCATTATTATGGGAGATAATAAAAAATTTCATCATCAACAGATTCACGGGCAGAAGACCCGAGGCAGTGCGCCGTTCACCAAGTACCCACCTGCGTTTGTCGGCTATTCACTGAAGCACTACCGCCGTTCACTTGGCTCGAGCCCATAACTGGCAAGGAGGGAATATAACACGAGTGGAACACAAAAGAAAGGAGGGGGGATCACGTTGATGAGGAGAGCCCTCGAAAAGGAGGAGAGAAACAAAAACGAGGGGGGGTTCTCGGTTAGCAATCAAGAATAGAGGAACGACAGTGAACAACCAGAGCACAGGCAGGGGAGGTTCATCCATAACTATTTTCGAACAGGGGATCCATTGTAACGAGGGGAAGTCGGTCAGCTAAAAAGGAGAGATTTGTAAAACATTTCCGGTTCTTCTTGAGAAACAATACCAAGCAGGATATACATTTTAAGGTTTTCGGTTTACTTTCCTAGTTCATTTTATTTTCTGTTTTTGCTCTTTGTTTTGAAATGATTTCAGTGTGAATACTGTATTACTTCATTCCATTTTTCTGTTTTTTTTTTTAAAGGATAATAATAACAAAAAACCATAGAACTCAGCCAAAAGTATGAACGAAAGGAAGTAGAAGAGTGTGAAGCATTTACCTTTGGTTGTGGGGGTTTAGCGTCGGTCGGAGCAGAGGTGGCGTTGACGAATGGCGGTCATGGCTCCTTTAGGCTTCGATTTTTCAGAGGAGAGTAAGGCTAGAGGGAAATCGAGGAGGTCGCCGATGGTTGATGGCCGAGATGGTCGTTGTTTCGGCCGAGAGCAACAGAGAGCTAGGGAGAAGAGGGGCGCTGTTCTGTGAGGAAGAAGAGAATAGATAAATGAGGGTTAGGTTTAGTCTAAAGTTAGTTTTATATTAGATTGTTAGGGTTAATTTCTTTAAGGTCACTACACATTTGCCGTTGATTTCCATTCTGGTCCTGAAGTCAAGTCTTGGTTTCTTTGTAATTTGGTCTTTATCTTTTATGCACATTTTATTTAAGTCCTGAACGCTAGGGTGTTTATTTTCTTTCGTTTGCATTCGGTCTTCAAGTTTTTGCATATTATATTGTAGTCCTCAAGTAAAACCTTTTCTGTTTTTCAATTCAGTTCTCAATTGTTGCGTGCATTTAATTTTGTCACTAAATCAAAATTTCCAAAGTTTTAATTTGATCTTCATATTTTTAATTGTTTCTTTTTAGTCACGACTTCATGTTTTTTTTGTTCATTACCGCATTTAACCTACAATGTTTGTTATTTAATAGTTTAGTCCCATCACATGTTCGTTTAATTTATTGTTAGATTTACATTTTGCATGCTTAGTTTAATTTTATTTTATTTTGGTCCTTCATGATAATTTTGAATGTGAAGTCGAGTCATTAATAGTATGTTCTATTGTATATATTGTTTTATTCTAATGTATGTCAATGTCGTGGTGTGCATGTAGGTACCATATCACCATAATTTATTCTAGGCCATGTAAATAAGATGAATATTAATTTGGGTATTAATTGATTTAGGGTGAAAGCTTTTGTCACACATTTATATGAATATGATGGGTTTAATAGCTTTAAATGTAAAGAATTTAAAAATTCCTTTGTAAAATGGATAACCGTAAATGCATGTTAATATTTTTTATATAGACTTAGAAGTTTGTTTGAGTGCATAGTGTCGTAACCGTCTTTCGGTTGGGCCCCGGAATTGGGCTTCGACTTGAAAAATGTGATTGGAGTCGCCACCGATTATTTATTTAAAAAAATAAATAGGTTAATCGGATACCTTATATTTTACCTGATCTGCGTCTTACCAAAGATATGTCGGATTCGGGAGTCGGTTACGGTCAAGGAAGGATTAACACCCTTGAACCGCCCTTTCGGTACTACGTAATTTCCAGTTGTTTTTAATTAAGAAAATCGAAAGTTAAAATTTAAAGGTAACATATGATCCAAAATTACTTACCTCCGATCAATTTGAAAGAGTACCCTTAAAAAGTCGAGAAACGCGTTAAAGGAAAAGGAAATAAGAGTAAATGAAATAAAGAAAATAGAAGGAAAAAAAATAAAAAAAATGATGAAAAACTAAAAGAGGAATAAAAACATATAATTATTAAGTGCAAAATAATAATAATGATAATAAGTAGTAAAATAAAAAACGCAATCACACCAAAAAAGTAAAAAAAAAAGTCAAGGTTGGTGAAGTATAACTGTCGGGAAGGAAAAGACGATAAGGGGTGGGACCGTAGTTAATAAATGAGTGTGATGTATCTCTATAATAGTAAGAATGAATAAACAAAAAAAACATTATGATATATATATAATAAATATTATAACAAAAATAATAATTTAATAAAGTAAAATAATAATGTAATATAATATAAATACATGAAAACAAAAAAATAAAGAAGTATAAAATATAATTAAATGTATATATGCATATGTTTAAAAAAAGTAAAAATAAAAATAAAATACAATAAAAAATATACATATAATGATAATAATAGTAGCAAAAGAGAAAAATATATTTATTACGTTAATAGTAAAATAATAATAATATAATAGTTATAAATATATATATATATAACTTTAAAAAACATTAAATAATATTAGAATAAAAATAATTAATATATATATACTTAATAATACGAATTATCAAAAAGAATAAATAAAATATGAAATAATATATAAGGGACCGTTCATCGGCGGCAAACCTCGAAAAAAAATTGATTTTTAAAATCCTTTCCTTCCCTCGTTTTAAATATTCTAGTATTTTTCCAAAACGGCCTAGGGGTTGTGTAGATCTAAAAGAAAAGTTTCGAACGACAACCCCTTTTCCTCGGCCAAATTATTTTTTTAAGCACAAAGACGAATACAACACATGCAAGTGAAGAAAAGAATGCGAAAGGTAAAAGCTTTCACCTTTTATTGCTCTTGAATTGTTTACAATAGCTTCAAAACAATTTATTTGCTCGTATTTTTTTTTCTGGTGATTTCGTATGCCCATCGTCTGTTACAATAGTGAGCTACAATGACTATTTATAGTGCTTGTGGATCCTATCTTTAGGAGTTTAAAACATAGCAAAATTCTATCCTATTTTTAGGAGTTGAATCCTAGCAGAATTCTATCCTATTTTTGAGAGTTTGAATCCTAGTAGGACGAAAAAGGTGTGTTGACAGCTGCCCCTCTTTGCCCATAGTCGTGTAACGGGGATAGGGCAAAGATTGAAAGACACACTTTTCGTTCGGTGGAGTTGAAAATTGACTCTGATGTTTCAATAACTCCCTATCGAATTGAGTTACGGATGACTCCTCCGTCGTGAAGTTGAGTTCATCTGGAAGCTTCTGAGCACTATATCCTTCGTCGTGAAGTTGGAATCGAACTCAAAGCTTTTGGCGAGTGGCCTTTGAATCGTCTTCTGGATCAAGATACTTCATCGTGAAGGTGAAACTTGACCTGAAGACTTCAGTGTTGATGCGTTACAGATGACTCATTCGTCGTGAAGTTGGGTCAATCTGTTTGTGAAATTGGAATCGTACAGGGCCCCTTCGTCGTGAAGTTGAGCCTGAGAATTGGATATCCTTCGCCATGAAGTTGAAATCCAAATATTGTTCCGAGTCCAATATCCTCCGCTGTGAAGTTGAAATTGGTTCTGGAACCGGGAAATTGTTTGTTGACAGTCAGCCGCCCCTTCGCTGTGAAGTTGAGCTTGTGTTGTCTCGAGTCTAATATCCTTCGCTGTGAAGTTGAAATTGACTCTGAACGAAATCTTGTTGACAATCAGCCGTCCCTTCATTGTGAAGTTGAACTTGTGTTGTCTCGAGTCCAATATCCTTCGCTGTGAAGTTGAAATTGGCTCTGAAATTTGAAAAATGTTTGTTGACAACCAGCTGTCCCTTCATTGTGAAGTTGAACTTGTGTTGTCTCGAGTGGCACGATATCCTCCATCGTGGAGTTGAAATCGCGGATGAAACTGAAAAGTTGTTCATTGACAACCAGCCGTCCCTTCGTTGTGAAGTTGGACTTGTGTTTTCTCGGGTAGCACGATATCCTCCGTCGTGGAGTTGAAATCGGTTCTGGAATTGGGAAGTTGTTCGTTGACAACCAATCATCCCTTCGTTGTGAAGTTGAACTTGTGTTGTCTCGGGTAGCACGATATCCTCCGTCGTGGAGTTGAAATCGATTCCGAAATTGGGAAATTGTTGTTGGCAACCAGCCATCCCTTCGTTGTGAAGTTGAACTTGACTCTAGCTAAAACTGAAAAAGTTATGCATATATTTGATGAGATGGATGCAATGCTCTTAGGTATGCCTAAAATGCATATGCAACATATGTTATCTTTGGGCTCAGGAGAGAAATCTCGATCTCCGGTTGTTTTTCTGGAATCTTGGCTCTGGAATCTTCAAGTTCTGATCCTGGTCTCAAATTCTTCAAATGTCAAATCTGATGTGCACATTCTATTTTGATTTGAGAAATGCTATCCCAAATATGTGTCTGAGCTGAGTGTAACGATTCAGATGATGCTTCAAGAGAAATTGTCTCAAAAGAGACAGAACTAGTTTCAAGGGAAACGATCTCAAAGATATTTGTTGCTTCAAGGGAAACGGTCTTAAGGGAGACAAAATTTTGTTTTAAGAAAAACTGTCTCAAGAGAGACAAAACTTAGTTCCAAAAGAAATTGTCTCACGGGGAGATGAAATTAGTTCCAAGGAAAACATATTCAAAGATGATACTTCAAGAGAAATTGCCTCAAAAGCGATATAATTCATTTCAAGGGAAATGATTTCAAAGATATCTGTTGTTTCATGAGAAACGAAATTTGTTTTAAGGGAGATAAATTCAAAGATTTTGTGTTTCAAGAGAAACTGTCTCATGGGAGACAAAATTGTTTCGAGGGAAACAATCTCAAAGGTTTTGTGTTTCAAGAGAAACTGTCTCAAGAGAGACAAAATTTGTTTCAAGGGAATTATCTCAAGAGAGACGAAATTCATTTCAAGGGAAATGTTTTCAATGTTTATGTTTCAGGAGAAACTGTCTCAAGGGAGACAAAATTTTGTTTCAAGGGAAACTATCTCAAGAGAGACAAAATTCATTTCAAGGGAAATGTTTCCAATGTTTATGTTTCAAGAGAAACTGTCTCAAGGGAGAAAAATTTTGTTTCAAGGAAACTATCTCAAGAGACAAAACTCATTTCAAGGAAAATGTTTTCAATGTTTATGTTTCAAGAGAAACTGTCTCAAGGGAGAAAAAATTTGTTTCAAGGGAAACTGTCTCAAGAGAGACAAGTTTGTTTCAAGGGAAACTGTCTCAAGAGAGACAATGGTGAGCACGATTCCCCTCGTCGTGAAGTTGAAATCGTGGGTGGCCCCTTCTCGTGAAGTTAAGCCAGGAATTGGATATC